AGAGTTTAATTTAATTTCTGTTTTTTTTTTAAATTAAAACGACTTTGTTGTAAAATAATGTTAGGAGAGTTGAAATCAAAAGACAAGAAACATATTGGATCTACTTAAAATCTCCTCTTTCAAGAAGGGTTAATTGTTAAGTAGATTAAAAGAGTAGAATTTTCGACCAATCAGAATGCCGCAAAATTAGAATGCTTAATACAAGCTCTATAGCTCTAGTGCTAATTTACTGTATTGGAGTGGAGGTGGGTATTCCTTAGTAGTGTAAAACAAAGGGGGTGAGGCAGGGGCGGATATAGGGTTGTCTTGAAGGGCTGTCTTGAGGGGCTGACTTTCAAAAAAAAGAGAATTTTGTGGACCTTTACTTTCTCAAATTAGACAAAATTTTCCGCGCCGCATGCAAATTTAAAAAAAAAACAGGCCAAAAAAGGCGTTCAAAGTTAGTATATTTTGGCGCCAAAGGCTCCTTTAGCAAAAATTTTAGAGTTAGTCAGCCAAAATGAATATCTCAAAATAGTACATAGGGGAGACCCTTTGGGTTGGCAGAGGGTCGAATTCCTGAAGGGGTCGAATTCCTCAATTTTCATGAACGTTTTTTTGCATAAAATGTCTATGTTAGGTGCTTTTTTCAATACTGAATTGTATTTTTCAATTCATGTTTGGATGCATCATTTCAAGCCCAAGACACAAAAGCTCATGCAAAACTGGGGAAAACACTTTTGGAGTGATTATTAGAATAACTATCTTGAAACACAGAAAAAGCGCTACCTTAATACTTGCGGTATTCTAGAATACGCTATGCACTCACATGCTCACTTTTGGTAAAATGTTAATTCTTTTTCGCTAAACTCAATTTTGCTTTGCAATAGTTTTTTTTAAACGGACTTGTTCCTTTGATCACAGAATTTCCATGAAGAAAAACTAAGAATTGTACGTGCAATTGCTTTCTTTGCACTTTTCCACAAACTAATTTATTTTAAGAACGTAAGCTAGCCAAAAAGCTATTTATGTGATTGGTCATAATAAAAAAGATTCTCACGTGCGGTGCTCGATGTGTTCTGTGTTTCAACCCTCTCTTTCTCTTCCAAAGTAGTTAGAGGGCGTCCCTGAGCATCCGGGAGCGAATTGATATCGGTTGTTATGGAGGGGGGGGGGGGATGTTTTGTTCTCATTTCTGGTCTATGTTCTTTCCATATTAACAACATTCTATGTTCTAATTTTCAAAACAGAGACATACTCTTGGGCTTACTACCATGGTTGAGGTCCGCATTACATCTATTTTTGGAGTTTGCCGATTGCACCAATGTTAAATCCGCAGCCAAAAATCCATAGCCTGGATAGTGTTTGCAGTATCCGTGTCGCCATGGTCGAAAAGTAAGTCAAGACTATGTCAAAAAATTTAGCGCGTTATCAATTACAGAAGTCAAACTCTTATCTACGGCCTCCAGGCTAGCCATTATGGTTGAAAAATAAGTCGCGGCGTCTTCGAAAATCAAGTCGAAGCCGGGGCTGATTTAGCCCCCCCCCCCCCACCCGCGCCTCAGGGACTTGACCTCCTCAACAACCAAAGGGTAACCCTTTCTATTATTTTATGAAATGCATGTTGGGTCAAAAAACCCTTAAATTTTTCTAAAAGTGGCTACACCAGCCAAAGGGTACCCCTTTCTACTATTTTATGAAATCCGTGTTGAGCCAAAAAACCCTTAAATTTTTCTAAAAGTGGCTGCGGCGCTAATATATACTAATTTTGAAGGCAAACGCGCGCTGAACAAACGTAATTTTCTAAAAAGTGTCCAAAAACAGCGTTTTTGACCTGTTTTATCAAAAATTTATCTGCGGTGCTGCAACTTTTGTTCAAAATACGTTGAACAAAATTAGAAAATGGATAGGGTTCTGGGAGTTCTTGGAAAATCAGTTTGTTCCAACTTGAAAAAAGGTCAACAAAATTTTTGAAGCATTTTGAAGATCCGCCCTCCCCTCTCGATAAAATCCTAGATCCGACCGTGATTCGCAGGATAGTTAAAAAACAAATCGAGACGGCCAAAACAAACAATTTTTGCTGAAAAAAGGTCGGAAACCCTTATCGCGGTTAATTTTTCTTCGATGGCGCCGGTCGCAGACACATTATCTCGGTCTGCAGAGTTTGGAATCAACAAACTTCGGTCGAAGTGTTTGAAAATACCCAATTTTGGTTGCGATATGTCTAAATTTATCATAGATAGCAAATAAACTCTAAACTGTTTTGGCATTTTGTAAGGTAACTAAGAGTCCAAATCTTCAGAAATGTGTGTGATGGTTGAATTTGATTCTTCTGAAAGTTTGAAAAGTACGTCAAGTTTTTCTACAACTTTCTGACGAATCTACAAGATCTCAGAAGATATTCAAAAAAAAATTGAATTATTTTTATTTCACAATCATTTCAAAGAAAATCAATGAGCAAACATATTATCAAGTACTCTGAAACACATAAAATTAATATATTTTTTTTTGTCCATAAAAATATTTCCGATACTAAAAACTAGGAATTGATCAGCAAATGAGCGAGATCAAGCGAGCTACTGTAATGCTACTGCAATGAGAGAAGTTGGTAAGCAAAAACGAAACTGCTTGTATCAGGGCAAAGCCCTGATTGTTCTGACTGCCTTCTAAGCTCTACGGAGCAGTAACAACATGAAAAAATTAAACATAATGAAATCAAGCGAAATTTTTGTTCTTAATTTGAGATTTTTTGTAAAGTACAAAAAGATAGATTTCGCTCATATTAACAAGTCAAGGAAGGTAAACAAGCTTTCTTAAACCAATTTGAAACAATTTCTAGGACGGATTATTTCTCCGCTTACGCGTTAATAGCACGAAATATATCGCTGTTTAATTGTCCCAAACTGACAAAAAGAGCAACTTTTAAGCACCCATAACCTTAGGAAATATAATCACAGGTGAAATATCTTTTCAAATTTAAGCTTAAGACAACACTATCTTTTGACTGATACAAAAACATCCCCTAAATGGCTAGTTAAAATGTCGAATTTGTGTGGAGAAAAAAAACAACCCGAGCACACAAATTCCGTTATTATCATTACGAAAGTCGGGACAAAAACCAAATGTGAGTATTCTGAGAAAATGCTTTTTTGTTTCTTAAACAGTTGCAATTTCAGGCGTTACCAAATGGCCAGTAGTTATTTTTTATTACGTTGATAGAGATGGACTAGTGTAAAAATTTTCAAAAAAAAAAGTTTTTAATTTTTTGAAACTGTTGGCTCAATTACTGAAAACGATTAGCTTCACGAGGAAAATGAAAAAGATGTGAAGTTCCCGAAAATTTATACGTTTATTTGAGTTTAAAACTTTTTGCTGAAACCAGAGATAGGTATTCAGAAATAACTTAAGTCTTATTTTTCTCTAAGTGAACACTGCGGTTTTAAGATGTTTTTTTTTGTCTAATATCATTCAAAAGATTCATTGTCAGTTTTCCATTTTCAACATTTTCTTATATTGAAATGTTGATTTTATTTTTTTAATTTTTCTTTTTAGTTCAAGAACATTAATAGCAAGGTGTCATCTTTCATCAGATTAGATTTACGGCACATTTCTTCTTCTATGCATTGTATCGCTTTGTTTGTTTTCATTTTCTTAACATCCGTTTCTTTTATTGTTTTTTTGCTCAAGCATTGTTGGCTTAGTGGAAGCTCGTTTATTGATACTAAAAGCCTATGTAATGCAAGTCGTTGTTTTTCTCGACAGTGTTTCTGAAATTGAATACTTTTCTGTCAATAAACTGTTTTCAAATTTTTACAGTGTTTTTGATAGAGTTAGCTCCCCCCTGTTTTATTTTCGCTAGCTTGCAATGTTTCCATCCGCGTGTAACGCAAGTGAGACAAGGTTTGCTTAGTCTTTGTGTAAAAACGTCTCAATTTTTTTTGAATATATTTTGTGAAAATTCTGTTCTTGTAATTGAGCAAAAAACAGCCTCCGAGTTGTTGTCATGTCAAAAAATTGTTACTTATTACACCTATTGAAAGTATTCTCAAACTTATTTTAAACATTTTATCTTTTTTTTTGGTGACCATCAGTTTAAAATAAGTTTTGAGCAATCAATCAATTTAGGCTAATAAAGTTTTTTGAAAACCATATGGAAAACTATCTATCAAAAGCAATTCTCAATCTGTTAGTCTTGATTGCGTGAAATTGTTTTGAAAATGATAATCAAAACAAATTCAAATTTGTTGATCAAAAACCTTAAATAGAGACTGCTCGGTTTTTGTTAAGATCTTCATCTCATTTCTGTAATTGATTCCTATTTTTTTTTCAAACCGCAATCGTGATAATTGTTTTTTTTGCACGTTTTAGATCAAAAATTGATGAGTAATAGGGAATTTATTTTTTCTGATATGTGATCAATTTGGTGAAAAAAATTGTCGGATTTGTTTGTTTAAAATTGTATTTCAATTGATGATCATCATGAAAAATTGAAATGTTTCACCTTCAACAAATGAGTTTTTGGTTTCGCGCACAATTTTGTAGATTATTGATTTCATTTTTTGTTTTTTGATTCCTCTTTGCTTTGAGGTTCATTATCATCAGAAATATTTTAACCTGATGATTGAATAGCCTTGCTTATACTTTTCTTGATTGTTGACTGTGTTATCTATTATAATCAGAATGAGCTTAAACTGAAATTTTTATACCCTTTAATTAAAACCAAAATTTTTTTTTTTAAATCTTAGAAAAACTTCAAGAAATTTGCCAAAGGGGGAGGCAAAAATCTTTTAAGCATTGTAATGTTAAGCCACCTGTGGTGCCTAATAACAAAAATCCACCCCTACACAGGAGTATTTCGATGGGTAAGCAGTCACAATTTTGTGCGTAGAAACGTGCCCCATCATCCCAGCCCCCCCTCCTGGTAAAAGAGAAAATTCACTACTCATGGAGCATTTGCACTTTTTTGTGAAGTGAGGTGCTATTTGATGATCCTTGATTTAATAATCGACAAAGACGAAACAGAGATTGAGGAAAATTGAATTGTTAATCAGAAAAACAATAAAAGATAATAATTGTATTATTAGACAAATTTACAATTCTAAGGACATCTTTGATTTTGGTTTGTTTTATTTACAGAATGGACAGATTATTACAAGGAGTTTGGATTTTGATCCAAATACTTTCTTTTCATTTCAAAATTAAAAACTGTTCTGTTCTTTCTTATTTGTTCACACGCAGTTCATCAGGAATTGGTTGAAATTAAGGTCATCTTATTCAGCATTCATTTTGGAGGCCGTTTTTTTAGTGAGACGTTTTGGAATCCTGTTTTTTACGTCATTGTTCACGAGATTTCCTGAAACCAAAAATTGAAATTTAGTCAAGGCTTGTCAGATTAAAGATTATTTTGACATGTTGATGTTGGTTAGCACTAAAATGACACTAAATTGACACGAACCAGACATGAAAAAGGGCATGTGAATAAGTTTATAAGTGTTACACAAACCTACCTAACCTTTTATAAAGAAATCCCAGGTCAAAATATCGTCCTCTAAGCTTCCGGAAAATTATGTTTAATAACAATTTGGCCCTCACGTAAATTAAGACGTGACTGCCGAGTTACTTGAGAATTAAATTAGCTAAAATTACCTCAATCTAACGGCGACGGCGCTAATTCGAAGTTCATTTAAAAATGTAATTGCTTTCGCGTCCTGAAAAAGCGGTCACAAATCGTCGTATTCGTTGATAACCCGTCCCCGACCCCGTCTCTGTCTCCGGGTGAGTATGTTCTGGGCTGGGATGGGCCGGGGGAGGGGCTGTGATTTTACTTATTTGCCAAGGTGCATCTTACACCATGAAAACCGAGAATTAAATATGTAATTAATTGACCCTTTTTATTGCTCTATCATAGATAGCTCTATTGCTATTTTGTGTTTTTTTTACTTAGAATATTTTCAGAAATTGAAAGAAAAAAATTCTTAGTAGGGCTTGTATCTCCGATTAAGTTACAAAAAAAACAAGAATTTCTTTTTTAATTATCGGAAAATTCCGATTATTTTGCCCTTGTAATGTTGAAAAATTTCACAAAAAAAAAGTTGACAAGTGAATCAGATTGCAGCTTAAATCTTCGCTTAAAGATGCCTGATTCGCCGTATAAATTAATTTTCTTACCCTGTTAGACGTTAGATTCTTAAAAGGTAAAAATTTTGGTTTTACGGCGAATCAGGCGTCTTAAAGCGAAGATTTAAGCTGGAAACTGATTCAGTAGTCAACTTTTTTTGTGAAATTTTTAAAAAGGAAAAGGACAAACTCGGAGTTAGAAAGGTGTTTGGTGGTTGACCGACCTCTCGAATTCCTTGCCAAGATCTTGAAGATTCTCCTGAGGGTTTAATCGAAGAGAGCGGAGGTCCTTGAACCGTTGTTCTTACTTTTAAAATATATTCATTTGACCCAAAAATATAAAAGTTTGGCTCAGAATTTTGTAAGGCTGACAAAATTTCTTAAAATTTTGAATTGATCTTCAAAACTCTTGAATACTTCTTTAAGATTTTTCAAGATCTTCAATGATTTCCAAGAAAACTGAATTATCAGTTTAAAAGTTTGCAAATTATTTTTTTTTAGATTTAGCATGGATTCTAAAATACCAGTCAAAGAGAAAAACTATTCATTGACCGGAGTTTAATGAATATCTTGACTCCGGCGACCAAATCCTTTTAAACTCGCTTTATATTTAATTTTGAATTGATTTAACTAAGATGATATGAATCCAGATAAAAAGATAGTACAGGTAAAAACTTCTTTTTCAGTTTCCATAACAAAAAATACTACTCTACTACTACAGATATGATTTTTTTGCTTCACCTGTTGGTTTCTTTGCCCCCCGTTGCCGCCCCAGTCGAGTCTGGGCAGGGTGGACTGTGTTTCGGGTGCTTCTTTTTAAACTCGGCTCTATCGCCCAACACTAACACAACAGACCAATTTGTTTAAAAAACTTTGGGATATCTTGAACTATTTCCCCTTTTGCAATTGGGGCAAGGTGGTTCGCTACTAGGCACGGGGCAGTACAACTGTGCCGAAGTACAACAGTGCCGAAAAAGAAAAAGTGTTCAACAGTGCCGAAAATTGATGATTTTTGGCACTGTTGAACAATAAAATTGTTTTCGGCACTGTAGTACTTCGGCACTGTTGTGCTGCCCTTAGAGGGGCGTTGAACAGTGCCGAAGAACAAGAGTGCCGAAAATAAATTATAGTTCAACAGTGCCGAAAATCATCAATCTGGTCACTGTTGAACACTTTTTCATTTTCGGCTCTGTTGAACGCCCCCCTAGGCACAAACCAAATTCCAAATTCGCATTTGCCGAACTGTTAAATTATTTCATTATAGGGTTCTATCATTTCCAATTTCATTTCGTTTCTAGGCGCCAAAGAAGGGAGAATATTTAAAGAGATCTAGTTTTTTCTATTTTTTTAAAATTACAAATCAAGTTGAGCTGATTATCGAAAAGCATGAAAAATTGGCTTAAGATGAGAAAAACTTGAGATGAGGCTTATTTTTTAAAATATTTTTAATATTACTATATTTATCGAAAAATCATTAAAAGTTGTAATTTAGTTTTTGTAATATGTTCAAAATGTTCAAGAATTGTGCGGCAAGTAAATATTTAAGTAATTGCAGTTCTTTGAGACACCGAAAATGTCGCCAAATTCTCTAGCAGGATGGTAATATCAACGAAAAAATAACTTAACAGTTCACATGTTTGTCTTCTTTTATTTTGCGACGTGATCAAATGAATGATTAGTGATTTTTGCGACATGAAGACTTACATGAAGTATAAAACAGCTCGCAATCGTAACAGAGTTTCCATTCGGTAGATCTACAAGGGTAAAAACAACATCGATACAAAAACACCGTAAATTTCTGTTATTCTTAATCGAAAGCATTGGATCAAGTAAAAATGAAAGAAGGAAAGGACCAAGGAGGATGTAAACTTGGTGCAAATTATTCAATGAGTAATTTTTAATAGTTTTTATTGACCCAACTCTGAGAAAAGCGGTTAAATTGTTCGCTGCAATTTCTTCATGCTAATTCGAGCAAAAGTCAAAATTTTCTAAAATTGCTAAGCTTTTTTTTAATCGAATTATCAATTTCTGACAAAATATGGCAGGCTATATATGATGTCTTGAAAGATAAAGTACACCACACCTTTTAATTGAAACTTGGATTTCTTTTGATTTTTCTGAATTTATGACGCTTTGGAATAATTAGATTCGGTTTTTTGGATCTTGTTCACTATCCCCCCTATGGTATCTTGTAACGAATCATCTTCCGCCCCCCCCCCACTATAAAAAAGAATTGAACAGTTAAGCATATACGAATTTTGTACCTTGTTAACTATTTCCCCCTTCCCCCTATTGCAATATTGCAATATTGGGGGGGGGGGGCGGAATAGTTAACTCGATCCGGTGTTTTTATGCGCATTTTTTCCAATTTTCAAAACATCTTCAAGCAGAGAAAAATCCTGCTCAAAAATATTAAATTTATCAACCTATATACAGTTTTTACGTTGCGCTAACGCTGCTTGTTTTAGCCACTAGTTTTTTAAAACAGGAAAACATAGATTCATAGATTTTCGCAAGTTGCTGTTTAAAAATGCTCAGTAAAATATACCCCACATACAGTTCAAAAAAGGCCAAAAAACTGAAACAGACCAAACAATGACGGATTTTTTCTTTAAAAAAATTATCAGTTCAAAAATCCTAACTAACTCCAATTTTGATTTTTTCAAAATTACAAATAAAAACAGTTTGGTTTTTTTTAAAAAAAAAACTGGATTAAGAGGCACTATTTTTATTCTGCTGCGGAACCTGAATTTCAATTCTTAGTTTGAAACATGTCAATTGCGTTTATCGCGCCAATTTTGTCCAACATGTATGTTTACAGTATTAATTTAAAGTAACCAGACAAAACGAATAAAATTGAAACTTTTTTAATGCGTTTTTCTCAAATTGGGTTGAGATGAAACAAAAAATGAATGAAGTTAAAGTTGCTCAGAAATATTATGTTGCAATTTATTTTAAAAATTTGTAAACCATCACTTTACCACAAAAGGGGGTCATTTTGGTTTCTTTTAGCGATTCAAGAATCACGCTTAAACTAGCAAGTCGATTGATAAAAGGTTTATATCAAAAAGAGCCTCGTACCAAAAACAGATTCGTAGAGCCTCCAAATATCTATTATATGAGAGTATATGATTTGCTTGATAGCCAAAAAATATCATTTTCACCAATGTTTTTTTACCTTTCTTTGATCTTTCTTTTCTGTGTAAGCAAGAAAATTTTTTATTCAAATTTTTGCTATTTTGAAATTGACATTTGGAACTACGGCCCTAAAAACATTTAGAAAATTCCTTAACTAATACCTTGACAAAGACAGTTATAAGTCAAAATTGATTAAAGAATTAGTTTTCCGGATTAGAATTTCGTGCATAAGTTGGACTTTGAGAAATGTTTAAAAAATTTCAGACAAAAAGGTATATCAAGTTCGGCAAAGTTGAACAGACGTTTTGGTGCCAATTCGGTAAACTCTAATTAAGCTTAGTTTATCATTTGAAGGCACTTCAAACCCCTTTTTACCCCCAAACAACCTGAATTTTGCCCCTTAAAGGTTTCGTTGTCTAAAAAAGGGTTTATTTAATCAAAATTACGCTAAAAATACCGAGTAAATTAATTAAAAAAATAAGATCAAAAGGAGCTTTTTACAAAGTCCATCCAAATTGTTGAAAAATGAAAGACCAGATAGATTGCTTCAATTCAATTTAGAGCAATTTTGTACAGTGCTGATTTAATTTAACCGGTTAATTTAAGCCATTTTTAATTAAATTGCCGAATCTGGAGTCAAAAAAAAGAAAAGAATACACGCAGAAGCATCGAATTTGTGCAACTGTGCTTCAAGTAGAAACATTTTGCGCAGATATTTTGGCCAAAAACAATTCAGCCAATTTGAAATTCAGACAATTCAGCCAAAAATATACAGACAATTCAGCCTGAGACTATTCAACCAGTTTTATAAAGTGCTAGATTTGAAAGAAAAATTGGAATTGGAGCTATTTCTTGGTTAAAGGTCGCCGGTTGGCGCGCGACGCGCGCGCCGCCGCTTTGCGGCGATAACCGGCTCTAAATTCCGTATAGAGCCCTACCCTCTGTTGGCAAGATCGCAACACGTTGGCGCGACTGCGGCGGTTACTATTATTGGCTGAATTGTCTCTGGCTGAATTGTCTGCATACTTTTGGCTGAATTTTGTAAATTTTAAATCGGCTGAATTGTCTTTGGCCGAATTGTCTGAACGCGATCATAACACCCCATATGAGTTTGGGTGACTTCAATTGCATTCAATACAAAAAACACCTGAAACTGCCTTTAACTTTGGCAAACGCTAATTCAAAAACACAAAACGACTCAACCCGATTCCAAGCAAACAAGACCAAAACTAGCCTTATCATCGCGAGAAACTGAATATTCCGATTGCTGTTGAAAGGTAAACAAAAAATTGATGAATAACGAATTGATAAAATATTAAAAGATATGACAAATTTCTGTTGTTGTGTTTTTCCTTTTGTCCGAACACACGCTAAATAGTACAAAACGAACTTTATGTAATAGTCTGGTAGAAGGTTATTGAGGACAAATTGCTTTCTTTCAATTCGTTTTGGAATGGTTTCAGTGCTTACGCTTCATCAGCAAGAAATATATATTGCGCGTTATTATCTCAAACTGGCCGATTTGACGAATAGCTTTTAAAAAATAATATCATATTACATGTTTTTATAATTTTGAGCCCATTGTATCAATAGTTTTGATGAAAAAAATGTCAAATTAAAAAATTGAAAATAGTTTAGTGAAAAAAAAAACAAGTTACACCACCCGAGCAAAAGTTACTCCATCAGTTTTTTCGAAAAAAGGGACATTCAGTATTTGATAGTGTTTTTTTTGTATTTGACTTTTAACTTAAAAATTTCCTTTTGATGAAATGAAATTCAGTTTTTTGGTATAAAAAAGGTCTTGGAATATTTAATGTCTATTTTTTGAAAATGGCTACTAGGATTAGTTATGCAGTGAGTATTCTCTCCATTAAATTATCTGCCCTTTTACCTTTGGCCTGAAAAACTTTTTTCTGTAGAATCAGTTTTTTTTGGCTGAAACATTCGTTTTTAAAGCGAAGAGAGAAGTATTCTCAGAGCTAATTAATTAATCTATAATGGACAAAGATAGCCAGTTGTTGTGGAAATATTTTAGAATGTTCTGACCTCAATGTTCAAGAAAGAAAAATTGGAAAAATCATCGGAAACAAAAACAAAATTTTATCAAAAAACCGTTTAACTTTCTTAGTTTTTTGTCAATTATTTAGTAAAAAGCTATTAAATTAGGAAATAAACTGCTGAAGCAGAGATGAATATAATTATACTAATGTGGAAATTTCAGTAGAATTAAGCCAAAAACTGTCATCAAAATAGAGTATGGTCAGTTTAACTCAGTTTAAAGCTGGAAAATTCAGACCACTATGTTCTCAATTTTGACCATTGATGAAACTATGCATAAATTTTAGAAATTGTATAATGTTGAAATTTAATAAGTTAATATTTTGGTCGGAAATTAAGTCGCCCCAATCAACGGCTTTAACCATTTATCACTATTTATAAAACCGTTAATTCACGAGACAATCAACAAAAATAGCAGCTGATGTCCACTTAATTAATGGCTATTTTCAATTTACTGTGCTTATCTTTTTTGGCATGGGAAATTTCCTCTGAACTTTTTTTCTTAATGACTGGATCCAGAGTAACAACTGGCTTAAGTTTGATAGGTGTTCGAACTTTCATCTGAATTGAGTGTAAGAATCCAAGGCAGAACTCATCCCCAAATGAATGATGTAGTTTATAATTGCAAACCCCCCACTTGATTTCTAAGCACATAAGCAGTCAAGTTGCATGAAAATCGGATAAGTTAAAGTTGCCCTCGAGGGTGGCGAATATTGCAAGATAAAGCGGTGAAAAATTACTAATCAGACAGAATATTTAGGGATTAACATTATAATATTCTTAAAATACATTTTGATTAATTTTATGTAAATTGCATTCAAATCGCCCAGAATTTGAATACAGTCAAAGCACCTAGTCTTTTTAATCACTTTAAAACTCGTTAAATTGAATTACTTCATAATAATCGATCTGCAAGATATTGAAATGAGTTAGTTCAACCTTGTAGATAATTTAAATTCAGAAATCGGATATGGGAGTAGCGGTCAAACTAATCTAGTTGGCCATTTAATTGAAATCTGCAGCAGGTATTTCAACAGTTTTATTAGATCAAAATCATCCGTAAACTCTTTAACCAATAGATTAAAAACCATGTTTTTCTCAAAAAGGTTGAGACCTCAAAAATGTAGATTTTATTATTATGAGCATGTGCCAACATGCTCATAAAACATGCACCGTCGGCGTCGGCATTTTCGAAATGCCCTTTAGAAAAGTTATAAATTCGGTCAGCCACAAATTGATGTCTTGAGATACTACCTTACTATATGCTTAATCACATGCATCCATGCAAAAGTTGATCATGATTAAGGAAGACGTGGAAACAGCAGATTCCCGATGCCCCCCCCCCCTCCAGAACAGACATATGCTGTTCGAGGAAGGCGCGGCGAGGGGGGGGGGGTGGTTTGATGTTTCAAATAGAATAATCTGTACCTGGTCGGACTGGCATATCTGGCGTTGGCATTCTGTCTGAGTCTCTTCACTTCAGCTTCCGCTCGCTCTCTGCAACCAAAACTCAAATTTTATCAAAATTCCTCAATTATTTTCGAGGAAAACGATCTAAATTTTGTTTTTATGATTATCCTAATTTAACTAAAATAATTTCAGCAGAAGGGATTCAAATTACGCTAAAATTGCAAGGTTTGCTTTTAAAAAAAAACAAATCCTGCTCCAAAAGGTTAAACGTTTGTGACCGAAATTTTATTCTCAAGAAAAAATCAAGATTTCACACATTGTTAAAAAATTAGGATACCACTCGTGTTGTAAAAGAGTGACTTAAACTAAGAATAGATTAAGACTGTGGATGATTAAGATTCCTACTAAAATTGTAGGCTTTTATTTAAGACTAAATAAAAGACGGGGACTCTATCTAAGTTAAGAGAGGTTTAAAAGATTGAATTGGTTGCGATTGATTTGTTACGTATCATAAAAGATAGTGTCCAATTCAGAGTCTACCAAAAGCCGTTGCGCTTTTGGCAGGTATATAAATTAACAACTTAAAGGTCGATGGTAAGTTAAGATCAGAGGTTAAATAAACAAACCATAATACTTTTACATTCCCCGCGAAATTTTATCTATAATCTATCCCTTTCGCCTCACCAGAAGGGAACAAAACAAAAATGATTAAGCACTAAGATGAATGAATCAGTAGGCGCATTGTCTAGGACCCCCGAGAGTGGATCTAGATTCGTAAGAACACAGATTTGATAAAGGGCCCAAGAGGCGTATTATATACTAAGTACAATTACACGGTTATCAGGTCGAAAGGGTGGGTGTACAGTACGGGGAAGACCGGTGATCGGGCCCGACGGGCCGGACGGCATGTTCAACAAACAAAAACAAAATTCCAAAACAAAGCACCTTAGATCGAATAATATGTATTCGTCGGAAGAAATAACTGTAGACTGGTGACTATAGGCAAGCAAGAAACTGAAATAGCACCAGGGTGAATAGAGTCATAAGGTATGCAGGGAGTTATCCTTAGAATAAGCGAAATAACTGGGTAGAGCCAAAATGGATAAATCTAATGGTTATCCGGTGGTAGCGCCCCATGGGTTAACAGAACTATAACGAGATTCGGGCTGAATTCTATGGCAAAAGCAAGGGTATAAATGTTACCAATCATCACTATGGCTTAAAATAACAGCACTGGAGGTTTGTATGACTCTAGGGTCATGGAATGTTAGTAGCATTCAACAATAAACAGGACATACAAGTGCTAAAAGTTTTACAATGGAGTTTTGGTAGATCAAGAATGTTTTTGATAACATCTGTTTTGGAGTTCCTACGTCTAATTAGATTCCCGATTTGCTGCTTTATTTATTGTCCATCTCCTTAACTCCTCCAGCGTCATTGGCCGTCCAAGGAGTTCTATCGCCGAACTGATAGAGGAGGTGTTCAGCCAGTCTGGGTCAGGTACGATGGGGACAAGTGTGGAAGTTGAAATTTCGTAAGATAGGCCCGATGGGTTAAATCGCGTGGAGCAGACATCAGGGCTAAATTTGACCTTCTTGTCAGGACTCTTTTGATCGTCTGTTTTTAAGGGCTTTGGGTCACTTGGGTACGCATCGTTTTCTTCTCGCAAGTGAACTATAGTAGGCCGTGAAGATGAAGGTGGTGTTAATGTTGTCAGGTCTACTAGGTCGACATGATGGCTTTCCATTTCTACCGTAGTTGCTTCCAACGTTGAACATACTGAGACTAAACTAGGTGAACCGAATTCTAGGGCATCACGATCTTCCTCAGTTAGGTCGACTACACTGGTAAATACTCTCTCGCCTAGCATCTTGGGAGGCTGCCTAGTTCGCATAGGTCTGGTGTTCTGACGTGTAAAAATTTCTGACAGTTTTTTCTAGGGTGGTGATTTCATTGGAGATGACGCTTTCCTTTTAGCAGTACCGGACAATTTCTGTGTCTTCGTAGTACGGTCAGAATGTGTTTGTTTGGGTCCCGTCTCCGCCATGGTGGTTTGTTCTCCAGTAGGTTTAGGGAACTCTCCTCCGGGATTCTCTGGAAGTACCGGCATTTCTTGGATCGCTTCATCGCCCTCCTCCCTAGTGTCCAAGAGAATCAACTGTGGGGTCGCTTGAAAGTCTCTTTCATTGTCACCGGAATCCAAGTCGATCAAAGGAATCTCATCTAACTCGACCTTCTGGTCGGCGTGGTCTGATGTTTCTAGCTTAGGATCTGTTCGGTCGGACATTAGGTGTTCGTCTCGTTTCGTAGTTTCGAGTAGTGTTTTCTCCTTGAGGTCTCTTAGTGTAATTAAGTCACTAGCATTATCGTCTGACATCTCTTCATGTGGTTCGATCGTCACTCCGGGTTCATTTAGGTAACTTTTAAGAAGTTCGGGTTTGCCCGACGGGCTTGGTTCTTGGTCGCTCTCGAGGCCAATCGGTGTTCTCAGTCTCTTTCTCTGTTCTTCTTCTTCTCTAAGAAGAGTTTCCCTAGAACTGTTCATGGCCGCGTTTCGTCTCGCAATGTCAAGCTCTTCAAATTTCCACTGAAGATTTCGTTTCTTTTGGGTAGTTTTTGAGCTTTTAAATCCGATATTTCTTGGAGGTTTTGCAGTTTTCCTCAATCCTTTAGTCGCATAAAATCTAACTAATTGGTCTCGTTTTCTCGGACTTGGTTTCTTCTGGGTGCACTGTCTTTTAATGGCTAAATCAGATTTACGTATTATTTTACCATTTTTTAGAGTCACAGTGTGATCTGATTCCTTTACGATTTCGTCCTTAAGTACTCTATAGTATGGTTCATTTTTCCTTCTATCTTGGATTTTTCGATAAACAATGGTCTTACCCGACGGGTTGTTCAGAATTGAGTCCTTTATGCCCAAGGCATCTCTTTTTTCTGACCGGGAGAGGACTTTTACTGGGGATCCAGCACTTGTTGGTACATATCTCACGGCATTTGAGATATCCTCCGAGGATGATGAATTTTCATCGACATCTCCATCTTCTATGTCGTCAGGGGCATCCCAGTCATGTCTTCGCTCTCGGCTCATTAGTTTTTTGCCTTTATCTATACATAACAAAGTTTTATTCCAATCAAGGTTATTCGAAGAGGGTGATTTGACCAAATTATGCCAGATAGTGTTTGGGGATCTACCGAAATGTGCTTCGAAAGGAGAGCAGTTAAGCGACTGTTGAGTTACTGTTCTTAAGCATTTTATTAATTTCAGGAGTGCAGATTCTAGTGAAGGTTTTGGACGTTCTTGTGCCATAACCAGGAGTCGTTCCTTAATGGTCCTGATTAGGCGTTCCACTAATCCCGTAGCTCTATGATCACCCACTGGGCTAAATATCACCTTTATGTTGTGATCGTGGCAGAATTCTCTAACTTCCTTGGAGATGAAACCAGATCCTTGATCTGTTCTAATTGTTCTAGGTATCCCGTGTAAAGCAATGTATTTACTAAGGAAGTTTATAATAGATTTTGCCGATGTACTGGATGTTATTTGAGCTGATGGGAATTTTGAAAATCTGTCTACACACACCAATATGTATTTTTTTGTTCCCCATACTAAAGGTAACGGACCAGCGAAATCTAATTCCATTTCTTGGTTTGGTTCTTCGACCATTGGGAGTTCCCCTAGGGTATTGTGTTTTATAAGAGGTTTCAAATTTTTACCTGCTTTCACGCACTCTATACAATTTTCGCCGTGGACTTGGATTTCACGGTAAATTTTCGGCCACCAGATGTATTGCGTTGCCAGGCTTTTCATTGCGAACTGGCCGGGGTGGGCTTCGTGTAGTCTGTTCAGCATAGTCGATCTTAGGCATGCTGGGATTACTAAACGGTTGTCCAAATAGAGGCATCCTCCACTGACATGTAAGTTATTCAAATATGACTTATAATAGTTTCCCAGTTGTAGGATATCCTGTTTTCGGTCTTCCTCGATTGCCTTGATTATCTTTTTCAGAATTAGATCTTGTTTCGATAAGAGGGACATAAATTTAGAGTCAAATATTTCCGGCCAAGAGAAGGGGAATAAGTTAACTGTTTTCTTTTTGCTAGGTGATCTATTCTCGGGTTTGTCCGACGGGTTACTAGTATTTGGTGTTAAAACGTCCGTGTTTTTTTTAGTAGTAAATTCTTTTTGTTGGTTAAATTCAATTTGTTCTGCCATTTCTTTCAGGATTTTAAAATTCGTAAAAAAGTCGTTAGTTTTGCAAGATGAGTCACACAGTTCTGTACGCGAGTGAGAATTTTGACACACTGAAATGTTGGAATGGTTAGATATCGCTTGGAAAGTTTCAGCGGCATTAGCAATTCGTTTCTCACGTTCTATTTCTTGACTGGTCATATGATCTGTTGACTGGCCAATCGCATTGCAAGAAGTGACGTCATGTGCTAAGAAATGTTGAGAGAATTTATTTCTTATTTGCGCCCACGAATTTTTTGGCATAAGGTGATCAAAGCCTAAGAGTGTACTAATCTGGTTTACTGAAGCGATAACAAACTTCTCGTCATCCAGAGAAACTGGTACGGGTTCACCCGATGGGTGTCGGGATATATAATCGACAAATCCCATATCTTTACCGGGTAAATGTTCTACGGTAAAGTCGAACGGTAATAGTTTATCCGCCCAACGGGTGAGGCGTGATTGGGCCGTTTTAGTGTATTTATCGTCTTTCAGTGCTCCTATTAAGGCTTTGTGATCTGTTAAAATTGAGAATTGTTTACCCAGTAGATAATTTTTGAAATGATCTAGTGCCCAGACTAATCCCAGTAATTCGAGTTCGTTAGTGCTGTATTTTAATTCGGCGATATTCAAAAATCTGCTAGCGAACGCTACGGTCTTCCAATTTCCCCAATGGTCTTGTTCGATTGACGCGCTTAATCCTAAATGTGAGGCATCGCATTTCACCCGAGTGTTCAGTTTTACATCGAAATGGTGGTTCGTCACCGTATTACAAATTTCGTTCTTGATTTTTTCAAACGCTTCCGTATGTACTGTGGACCACTTAAATGGTTTATTCGTTTGCATAAGTTCTCTGAAGGGTGTTGATAAGGACGCTAGGTTTGGTATGAACTTATTAAATTGGTTAATCGATCCCATTAAGGATCTGATGTCTTTAATACAGTTTGGTTCTTTTAGGTTTCTGATTGCGTCAGATTTATGTATTAATGGTGTCGTCCCTTTTGCGTCGATTCTAAATCCCAACCATTCTATGTTATGAGTTAAAATTGTGCATTTTTCCCATTTTATGGCTAGTCCCTCGTCATCTAGCGTTTTTAACACATTAATGACTAGCTTTTTATGTTCTTCCTCGCTACCTACGGTGGCGATTAGGATGTCGTCAAGATAACAATGAGTATTTGGTAGTTTTTCCGTCAAACGGTCCATTATACGTTGAAATTCATTGGGCATATCGCCTAGTCCATAGAATCCGGTTTTAAAACGGTATGAACCCTTTACTTCTCCCCCCACAATGTTAAAATTACACTGATTACTTGCCTTTTTCGAAAGCGGAATTTGGCTGTAGGCGTATTTTAGATCTATCGACGAAAACCAGATGTTTCTTTGATCGTGGCCGCTAATAGTGACTGCAACGTTGTCAATTAGTTCGAATAGATTCGGCATTTGATATCTATTGCGAAATATTTGTTTGTTTAGTAGTTTTGAGTTCAACGCTAGTTTTATTGATCCATCCCTTTTTGCTGTAATCACGATAGGGGAAATAAAACAATCTTCAGAGCATCTAGATAGTTTTTCAATGTGTCCGTCACTTAATAATTGGTCGATGCATAGTTTGACTTTGGGGAGAAGATGGATTGGGATACGTTTCCCTTTCACCTGTATCGGTTTTATCGGCTCGTTAAAATAAGTATTAACTACGTAGTTTTTTGATCTACCAGTTCTTTTTATAAGGTCTGGAAAGTGCTTTGATATGTATAATTTAAACTCACGTTGGGATGGTGTCTCTTGGTTTTGATCCTGTTGGATGTCGGATGCGAATTTTATTTGATTGACATTTGTCCCGATGGGTGGTACTTTCTGGTTTTCCCGTGACTTTGACCCGTTGGGTGGAGGTTGTTTTTGAAATACTACAATACCCAAATTCGGTAGGATGTCATTTCCTAGTAGATTTCTTTCAGCCCCTTCTGTGATAAAAAGTTTTTGATCATCAGCCTCCCATCCTTTCGATTGGATTTTCACTCGAACTTTTCCAATAATATTGATCGTACTCCCGAAACCCTGGTATGCTTTCTTTGTTATCTCGTCCACAGGTTCTAGCTTTACAAATCTGTCTCGTATCTTCAGTTCGTGTAGTAGGTCTTTTTTCATGAAGGAAACTGGGCTTGCAGAGTCAATTTGGATCTCGGTATAGTAGGGGTTGAATTTTCCCAGAGCTACTTTTAGTGTCTTTTTCAATTCTAATCCTTCGTGATTGAATACTGTTCTCACTCCGCGCTCTATTTTGTCTTCTACGGCATTTATTTGGTTATCTGTGTCGATGGATAGAACTAAGAAGTCCTGCGGGTTGGCCCGGATATTTTCGTTTTCTTGGGGTACCCGATTCTGATCGCGGATGTTAGTTTGAGTTTTTGCTGAACTCCTACAGTGTTTAGCAAAATGTCCTTTCTGTCCGCACGTATTGCAGTTTCTATCTCTAGCCGGGCATGTGGATAGGTGTCCTTTTTTGAATTGCTGACCGCAATTACGGCACTTGTTATTTTCGACTATGTTTAATGTTGGTTCGTTCTTCACGTATTGTGATCTTGGTCCTGGGTTGTAAGTTGGAAATTTTAGATACTGTTGATGAATTTTAGTACCTTTTTCGTGAACTAATACGTAAGATAGTACGTTTTCTGGGGTCAAGTATTCAATGCATAGTTTCTTTTGGATCTCGACATTTCTCATGTTGGTTATGAAAATGTCTCTTACTAGTTCTGACTCGAGTTCCCCCAGTTTACAATTTTTTGCTAGTTCTGAAAGAATTTCATGGAATTTTTCTAAGGACTCATGTTCTTTCTGTCTTCGGCCAAAAAATTTAAATCTTTCGTATGTTAGGTTTGTAGTGATCGTGAAAGTCGTTTTTAATAGTTCCCAAAATTCTGCGAAATTAATATCCAGAATTTTTTTTCCAGGATTTTTATGAGAAAAGCATTTCTGTCCTTCTTTCCCGAGTGCTAGGTATAGCTGTGATTTGAGCTTCTTGTCAATATCTCCTATTTGAAGTCCGTTAAATTTTGCGTTATCTTCCGCCCTTCTCCTTTTTAATTCTTCGTTGTAATTTTGTACTGCTACTCTATGACGTTCCTCTTTTTCGGCCCGACGGGTCTGATCCTCGGATGGGTCCAGTGGTTCTGCCATAGGGTAGATTAGTTCATCTCTTATCGGTGGGTTAATTACATCTTCGATGTCTACGGAGTCTTTCGCAATAATTGTCAGTTGGAATTTTTCCGCCCACCTTTCCCAGTCATGTTGATTTTCGTATGATGAGTTGTTCCAAAAAAACTCTAGTCCGCGTAGGTTTGATTCATTCGACTGCGCCATGTTAAAAAATTAGGATACCACTCGTGTTGTAAAAGAGTGACTTAAACTAAGAATAGATTAAGACTGTGGATGATTAAGATTCCTACTAAAATTGTAGGCTTTTATTTAAGACTAAATAAAAGACGGGGATTCTATCTAAGTTAAGAGAGGTTTAAAAGATTGAATTGGTTGCGATTGATTTGTTACGTATCATAAAAGATAGTGTCCAATTCAGAGTCTACCAAAAGCCGTTGCGCTTTTGGCAGGTATATAAATTAACAACTTAAAGGTCGATGGTAAGTTAAGATCAGAGGTTAAATAAACAAACCATAATACTTTTACACACATTTTTTGCAAATGTTGCTTTTTGTCTTTTTATGCCTTATTTTTTCGTCCAGCATCATCTGGATTTTTCAGAAACTGAATTTTTGTGATTATCCAAAACCTTCTTCTTGAATTAAAGATGGCAGAATGGGATGACTACTCACTTTTCGAATCTCTCGCTAGTGAGTTGTTTGCGACTCCTCTCCAGTTCCGCCTCACTCGTGCCCGCTCTTGTGCGCAGACTCTGGATCTCCCGCTGCTGCGAACAACTGCAAACACAAACAACTTCTCGTTTAGTTTTAGAACTAAAACTTGACCAACTCGATGGAAGGGCTTTGGGGTTGCGGAGGCTTTAATTTACATAGACAGCTCTCATTAAAAGACGAAGGTCCAAACATGGTACCAAAAGAATCTGTCATAGCCAAGAACCCCCCTCCCCCTCTAAAGACTCACCATTTGCTCTCGGATAGTGCCAATCGCTCCTTGAACAGCTGGATCTCTCCTTCCTTCTCCTGGACTGCGAGACCCAGTGCGAACTCGGACTCCTTGTTGGCAGTCAGTAAGTCCTCAAGGTTCCGGATGGTCGTCTTCTCAGACTCCATCTGTCGCCTGAGCAGATCGATCTCTTGCTTCTGGTCCTCAAGAGTGTTGCTCAGCTAAAAAATATATATTAGATTCTTGGGGAAAAATTATAAGTAGCTTATATACTAAGCAGTTTGTATAGGATTCACAGTTGAAAAGGCTCAAAAATGTGAATGAAAATTGAGTGAGAGGCTCTGCGTTTCAAAAGGTTAAAACCTCCACCAGAAAAAACTTGCCATTAAATTTATATCGCAAGTTACACAAGTTATTAAGTACAAAACAACTTTAAAATCTTCTTAAAACCTAAGCAACAGCCAGTTGGAAAAAAGAAATATTTATTTTTTTTGTGATTTTTTTCCAAAAAATTGAATTTTATTCAATAATATCCGTTACCTATGTTTTTTTTGATTGCGAAAACGTTTTTAAAAAATTATTTGCTGCAAATGAAAAGCGGGAAATCTGTAATTCAAAATTCAAGTGGTAAAATAGGAGAAAGACAGATCAATGCTAAATTTGGCAGTTAAGATCATTCTCAACTCATTCCGCATTGCAACTCAGTCGGCTGAAGTCCAAATATTGCGTTAGAGCTCGCAAAACATAATCGATCATCAAAGCATTTTTAATACGGAACCAATCTTAAAACAAAAAAAGTCACACGCTTGAAATGGTAGACCAATAAAAGCAAACAACAATTTCCAAATACAAATAGACTGCTCGTATCAGGGCGAAGCCCTGAATGTTCCGACTGCCTTTTCAGGTCTATGAAGCAGTAATAACATGAAAAAATTAAATGTAAAAAAAAGAAAATAAATTGAAAAAATTTGGTAGAAATTTTTGAGATATTTTGTAAAAATCATCTCTCCAAACGCCGTGTAAAGTACAAAGTGATAAATTTCACTTCCAGGAAAAAATCAATTATGGCAAATAAGCTTCCTTCAATCAATTTGGAACGATTTCTAAGACGAATTAAATCTACGCTTACGCTTTAATAGCGCGAAATATATCGCGCGTTAATTGTCCCAAATTGGCCAAAATACCAATCTTTAAACCCCACAACTTTACAAGAAAAATGATCACAGGTGAAATCTCTTCTCAAATTTAAGCTCAGGACAACAATACATTTTGAATGATATAAAAAAAAATTCTGTCAAAAATGGCTAGTTAAAAAGTCGAAATTTGTCTGAAGAAAAAAAAAACCCAACCAGAGCACAAATATTTCGTCACTTTTGTATCGAAAGTCGGAACAAAAACAGATAGCTGATGGTTACTTGGCAAATTAATTTTTGTTGAAAAAAATATTTTTTCAATTTCTTCCAAGTTTGGAAAAAAATTACATTAAAGTTACAATATTATAAAGTTTACTTTAGTTTTGAGGTTGAATTTTGATATCGTATCATAACAAGACTGCTTGTATCAGGGCGAAACCTTGAATATTCCGACTGCCTTTTAACGCTTATGGGACACTAATAACATGAAAAAAAATAAATGTTATAGAACAATATGAAAAAAAATTTTTCCTAAAATTTGATTTTTTTTTGAAAATCATCCCCCCACACGCCATATAAAGTACAATAGCATAAATTTTGCTCCTTTTAACAAATCAATTAAAGCAAATAAAATTCTTTTAATCAACTTGGAAAGATTTCTAAGACTAATTAAATCCTCGCTTACGCGTTAATAGCGCGAAATATGTCGCGCATTAATTGTCTCAAATTGGCAAAGTGACAATCTTCAAACCCGCATAACTTTACCAAAAATAATCAAGATTTAAATAAACGATCTAAATTTTGTTTTTATGATTATCCTAATTTAACTAAAATAATTTCAGCAGAAGGGATTCAAATTACGCTAAAATTGCAAGGTTTGCTTTTAAAAAAAAACAAATCCTGCTCCAAAAGGTTAAACGTTTGTGACCGAAATTTTATTCTCAAGAAAAAATCAAGATTTCACACATTGTTAAAAAATTAGGATACCACTCGTGTTGTAAAAGAGTGACTTAAACTAAGAATAGATTAAGACTGTGGATGATTAAGATTCCTACTAAAATTGTAGGCTTTTATTTAAGACTAAATAAAAGACGGGGACTCTATCTAAGTTAAGAGAGGTTTAAAAGATTGAATTGGTTGCGATTGATTTGTTACGTATCATAAAAGATAGTGTCCAATTCAGAGTCTACCAAAAGCCGTTGCGCTTTTGGCAGGTATATAAATTAACAACTTAAAGGTCGATGGTAAGTTAAGATCAGAGGTTAAATAAACAAACCATAATACTTTTACATTCCCCGCGAAATTTTATCTATAATCTATCCCTTTCGCCTCACCAGAAGGGAACAAAACAAAAATGATTAAGCACTAAGATGAATGAATCAGTAGGCGCATTGTCTAGGACCCCCGAGAGTGGATCTAGATTCGTAAGAACACAGATTTGATAAAGGGCCCAAGAGGCGTATTATATACTAAGTACAATTACACGGTTATCAGGTCGAAAGGGTGGGTGTACAGTACGGGGAAGACCGGTGATCGGGCCCGACGGGCCGGACGGCATGTTCAACAAACAAAAACAAAATTCCAAAACAAAGCACCTTAGATCGAATAATATGTATTCGTCGGAAGAAATAACTGTAGACTGGTGACTATAGGCAAGCAAGAAACTGAAATAGCACCAGGGTGAATAGAGTCATAAGGTATGCAGGGAGTTATCCTTAGAATAAGCGAAATAACTGGGTAGAGCCAAAATGGATAAATCTAATGGTTATCCGGTGGTAGCGCCCCATGGGTTAACAGAACTATAACGAGATTCGGGCTGAATTCTATGGCAAAAGCAAGGGTATAAATGTTACCAATCATCACTATGGCTTAAAATAACAGCACTGGAGGTTTGTATGACTCTAGGGTCATGGAATGTTAGTAGCATTCAACAATAAACAGGACATACAAGTGCTAAAAGTTTTACAATGGAGTTTTGGTAGATCAAGAATGTTTTTGATAACATCTGTTTTGGAGTTCCTACGTCTAATTAGATTCCCGATTTGCTGCTTTATTTATTGTCCATCTCCTTAACTCCTCCAGCGTCATTGGCCGTCCAAGGAGTTCTATCGCCGAACTGATAGAGGAGGTGTTCAGCCAGTCTGGGTCAGGTACGATGGGGACAAGTGTGGAAGTTGAAATTTCGTAAGATAGGCCCGATGGGTTAAATCGCGTGGAGCAGACATCAGGGCTAAATTTGACCTTCTTGTCAGGACTCTTTTGATCGTCTGTTTTTAAGGGCTTTGGGTCACTTGGGTACGCATCGTTTTCTTCTCGCAAGTGAACTATAGTAGGCCGTGAAGATGAAGGTGGTGTTAATGTTGTCAGGTCTACTAGGTCGACATGATGGCTTTCCATTTCTACCGTAGTTGCTTCCAACGTTGAACATACTGAGACTAAACTAGGTGAACCGAATTCTAGGGCATCACGATCTTCCTCAGTTAGGTCGACTACACTGGTAAATACTCTCTCGCCTAGCATCTTGGGAGGCTGCCTAGTTCGCATAGGTCTGGTGTTCTGACGTGTAAAAATTTCTGACAGTTTTTTCTAGGGTGGTGATTTCATTGGAGATGACGCTTTCCTTTTAGCAGTACCGGACAATTTCTGTGTCTTCGTAGTACGGTCAGAATGTGTTTGTTTGGGTCCCGTCTCCGCCATGGTGGTTTGTTCTCCAGTAGGTTTAGGGAACTCTCCTCCGGGATTCTCTGGAAGTACCGGCATTTCTTGGATCGCTTCATCGCCCTCCTCCCTAGTGTCCAAGAGAATCAACTGTGGGGTCGCTTGAAAGTCTCTTTCATTGTCACCGGAATCCAAGTCGATCAAAGGAATCTCATCTAACTCGACCTTCTGGTCGGCGTGGTCTGATGTTTCTAGCTTAGGATCTGTTCGGTCGGACATTAGGTGTTCGTCTCGTTTCGTAGTTTCGAGTAGTGTTTTCTCCTTGAGGTCTCTTAGTGTAATTAAGTCACTAGCATTATCGTCTGACATCTCTTCATGTGGTTCGATCGTCACTCCGGGTTCATTTAGGTAACTTTTAAGAAGTTCGGGTTTGCCCGACGGGCTTGGTTCTTGGTCGCTCTCGAGGCCAATCGGTGTTCTCAGTCTCTTTCTCTGTTCTTCTTCTTCTCTAAGAAGAGTTTCCCTAGAACTGTTCATGGCCGCGTTTCGTCTCGCAATGTCAAGCTCTTCAAATTTCCACTGAAGATTTCGTTTCTTTTGGGTAGTTTTTGAGCTTTTAAATCCGATATTTCTTGGAGGTTTTGCAGTTTTCCTCAATCCTTTAGTCGCATAAAATCTAACTAATTGGTCTCGTTTTCTCGGACTTGGTTTCTTCTGGGTGCACTGTCTTTTAATGGCTAAATCAGATTTACGTATTATTTTACCATTTTTTAGAGTCACAGTGTGATCTGATTCCTTTACGATTTCGTCCTTAAGTACTCTATAGTATGGTTCATTTTTCCTTCTATCTTGGATTTTTCGATAAACAATGGTCTTACCCGACGGGTTGTTCAGAATTGAGTCCTTTATGCCCAAGGCATCTCTTTTTTCTGACCGGGAGAGGACTTTTACTGGGGATCCAGCACTTGTTGGTACATATCTCACGGCATTTGAGATATCCTCCGAGGATGATGAATTTTCATCGACATCTCCATCTTCTATGTCGTCAGGGGCATCCCAGTCATGTCTTCGCTCTCGGCTCATTAGTTTTTTGCCTTTATCTATACATAACAAAGTTTTATTCCAATCAAGGTTATTCGAAGAGGGTGATTTGACCAAATTATGCCAGATAGTGTTTGGGGATCTACCGAAATGTGCTTCGAAAGGAGAGCAGTTAAGCGACTGTTGAGTTACTGTTCTTAAGCATTTTATTATTTTCAGGAGTGCAGATTCTAGTGAAGGTTTTGGACGTTCTTGTGCCATAACCAGGAGTCGTTCCTTAATGGTCCTGATTAGGCGTTCCACTAATCCCGTAGCTCTATGATCACCCACTGGGCTAAATATCACCTTTATGTTGTGATCGTGGCAGAATTCTCTAACTTCCTTGGAGATGAAACCAGATCCTTGATCTGTTCTAATTGTTCTAGGTATCCCGTGTAAAGCAATGTATTTACTAAGGAAGTTTATAATAGATTTTGCCGATGTACTGGATGTTATTTGAGCTGATGGGAATTTTGAAAATCTGTCTACACACACCAATATGTATTTTTTTGTTCCCCATACTAAAGGTAACGGACCAGCGAAATCTAATTCCATTTCTTGGTTTGGTTCTTCGACCATTGGGAGTTCCCCTAGGGTATTGTGTTTTATAAGAGGTTTCAAATTTTTACCTGCTTTCACGCACTCTATACAATTTTCGCCGTGGACTTGGATTTCACGGTAAATTTTCGGCCACCAGATGTATTGCGTTGCCAGGCTTTTCATTGCGAACTGGCCGGGGTGGGCTTCGTGTAGTCTGTTCAGCATAGTCGATCTTAGGCATGCTGGGATTACTAAACGGTTGTCCAAATAGAGGCATCCTCCACTGACATGTAAGTTATTCAAATATGACTTATAATAGTTTCCCAGTTGTAGGATATCCTGTTTTCGGTCTTCCTCGATTGCCTTGATTATCTTTTTCAGAATTAGATCTTGTTTCGATAAGAGGGACATAAATTTAGAGTCAAATATTTCCGGCCAAGAGAAGGGGAATAAGTTAACTGTTTTCTTTTTGCTAGGTGATCTATTCTCGGGTTTGTCCGACGGGTTACTAGTATTTGGTGTTAAAACGTCCGTGTTTTTTTTAGTAGTAAATTCTTTTTGTTGGTTAAATTCAATTTGTTCTGCCATTTCTTTCAGGATTTTAAAATTCGTAAAAAAGTCGTTAGTTTTGCAAGATGAGTCACACAGTTCTGTACGCGAGTGAGAATTTTGACACACTGAAATGTTGGAATGGTTAGATATCGCTTGGAAAGTTTCAGCGGCATTAGCAATTCGTTTCTCACGTTCTATTTCTTGACTGGTCATATGATCTGTTGACTGGCCAATCGCATTGCAAGAAGTGACGTCATGTGCTAAGAAATGTTGAGAGAATTTATTTCTTATTTGCGCCCACGAATTTTTTGGCATAAGGTGATCAAAGCCTAAGAGTGTACTAATCTGGTTTACTGAAGCGATAACAAACTTCTCGTCATCCAGAGAAACTGGTACGGGTTCACCCGATGGGTGTCGGGATATATAATCGACAAATCCCATATCTTTACCGGGTAAATGTTCTACGGTAAAGTCGAACGGTAATAGTTTATCCGCCCAACGGGTGAGGCGTGATTGGGCCGTTTTAGTGTATTTATCGTCTTTCAGTGCTCCTATTAAGGCTTTGTGATCTGTTAAAATTGAGAATTGTTTACCCAGTAGATAATTTTTGAAATGATCTAGTGCCCAGACTAATCCCAGTAATTCGAGTTCGTTAGTGCTGTATTTTAATTCGGCGATATTCAAAAATCTGCTAGCGAACGCTACGGTCTTCCAATTTCCCCAATGGTCTTGTTCGATTGACGCGCTTAATCCTAAATGTGAGGCATCGCATTTCACCCGAGTGTTCAGTTTTACATCGAAATGGTGGTTCGTCACCGTATTACAAATTTCGTTCTTGATTTTTTCAAACGCTTCCGTATGTACTGTGGACCACTTAAATGGTTTATTCGTTTGCATAAGTTCTCTGAAGGGTGTTGATAAGGACGCTAGGTTTGGTATGAACTTATTAAATTGGTTAATCGATCCCATTAAGGATCTGATGTCTTTAATACAGTTTGGTTCTTTTAGGTTTCTGATTGCGTCAGATTTATGTATTAATGGTGTCGTCCCTTTTGCGTCGATTCTAAATCCCAACCATTCTATGTTATGAGTTAAAATTGTGCATTTTTCCCATTTTATGGCTAGTCCCTCGTCATCTAGCGTTTTTAACACATTAATGACTAGCTTTTTATGTTCTTCCTCGCTACCTACGGTGGCGATTAGGATGTCGTCAAGATAACAATGAGTATTTGGTAGTTTTTCCGTCAAACGGTCCATTATACGTTGAAATTCATTGGGCATATCGCCTAGTCCATAGAATCCGGTTTTAAAACGGTATGAACCCTTTACTTCTCCCCCCACAATGTTAAAATTACACTGATTACTTGCCTTTTTCGAAAGCGGAATTTGGCTGTAGGCGTATTTTAGATCTATCGACGAAAACCAGATGTTTCTTTGATCGTGGCCGCTAATAGTGACTGCAACGTTGTCAATTAGTTCGAATAGATTCGGCATTTGATATCTATTGCGAAATATTTGTTTGTTTAGTAGTTTTGAGTTCAACGCTAGTTTTATTGATCCATCCCTTTTTGCTGTAATCACGATAGGGGAAATAAAACAATCTTCAGAGCATCTAGATAGTTTTTCAATGTGTCCGTCACTTAATAATTGGTCGATGCATAGTTTGACTTTGGGGAGAAGATGGATTGGGATACGTTTCCCTTTCACCTGTATCGGTTTTATCGGCTCGTTAAAATAAGTATTAACTACGTAGTTTTTTGATCTACCAGTTCTTTTTATAAGGTCTGGAAAGTGCTTTGATATGTATAATTTAAACTCACGTTGGGATGGTGTCTCTTGGTTTTGATCCTGTTGGATGTCGGATGCGAATTTTATTTGATTGACATTTGTCCCGATGGGTGGTACTTTCTGGTTTTCCCGTGACTTTGACCCGTTGGGTGGAGGTTGTTTTTGAAATACTACAATACCCAAATTCGGTAGGATGTCATTTCCTAGTAGATTTCTTTCAGCCCCTTCTGTGATAAAAAGTTTTTGATCATCAGCCTCCCATCCTTTCGATTGGATTTTCACTCGAACTTTTCCAATAATATTGATCGTACTCCCGAAACCCTGGTATGCTTTCTTTGTTATCTCGTCCACAGGTTCTAGCTTTACAAATCTGTCTCGTATCTTCAGTTCGTGTAGTAGGTCTTTTTTCATGAAGGAAACTGGGCTTGCAGAGTCAATTTGGATCTCGGTATAGTAGGGGTTGAATTTTCCCAGAGCTACTTTTAGTGTCTTTTTCAATTCTAATCCTTCGTGATTGAATACTGTTCTCACTCCGCGCTCTATTTTGTCTTCTACGGCATTTATTTGGTTATCTGTGTCGATGGATAGAACTAAGAAGTCCTGCGGGTTGGCCCGGATATTTTCGTTTTCTTGGGGTACCCGATTCTGATCGCGGATGTTAGTTTGAGTTTTTGCTGAACTCCTACAGTGTTTAGCAAAATGTCCTTTCTGTCCGCACGTATTGCAGTTTCTATCTCTAGCCGGGCATGTGGATAGGTGTCCTTTTTTGAATTGCTGACCGCAATTACGGCACTTGTTATTTTCGACTATGTTTAATGTTGGTTCGTTCTTCACGTATTGTGATCTTGGTCCTGGGTTGTAAGTTGGAAATTTTAGATACTGTTGATGAATTTTAGTACCTTTTTCGTGAACTAATACGTAAGATAGTACGTTTTCTGGGGTCAAGTATTCAATGCATAGTTTCTTTTGGATCTCGACATTTCTCATGTTGGTTATGAAAATGTCTCTTACTAGTTCTGACTCGAGTTCCCCCAGTTTACAATTTTTTGCTAGTTCTGAAAGAATTTCATGGAATTTTTCTAAGGACTCATGTTCTTTCTGTCTTCGGCCAAAAAATTTAAATCTTTCGTATGTTAGGTTTGTAGTGATCGTGAAAGTCGTTTTTAATAGTTCCCAAAATTCTGCGAAATTAATATCCAGAATTTTTTTTCCAGGATTTTTATGAGAAAAGCATTTCTGTCCTTCTTTCCCGAGTGCTAGGTATAGCTGTGATTTGAGCTTCTTGTCAATATCTCCTATTTGAAGTCCGTTAAATTTTGCGTTATCTTCCGCCCTTCTCCTTTTTAATTCTTCGTTGTAATTTTGTACTGCTACTCTATGACGTTCCTCTTTTTCGGCCCGACGGGTCTGATCCTCGGATGGGTCCAGTGGTTCTGCCATAGGGTAGATTAGTTCATCTCTTATCGGTGGGTTAATTACATCTTCGATGTCTACGGAGTCTTTCGCAATAATTGTCAGTTGGAATTTTTCCGCCCACCTTTCCCAGTCATGTTGATTTTCGTATGATGAGTTGTTCCAAAAAAACTCTAGTCCGCGTAGGTTTGATTCATTCGACTGCGCCATGTTAAAAAATTAGGATACCACTCGTGTTGTAAAAGAGTGACTTAAACTAAGAATAGATTAAGACTGTGGATGATTAAGATTCCTACTAAAATTGTAGGCTTTTATTTAAGACTAAATAAAAGACGGGGATTCTATCTAAGTTAAGAGAGGTTTAAAAGATTGAATTGGTTGCGATTGATTTGTTACGTATCATAAAAGATAGTGTCCAATTCAGAGTCTACCAAAAGCCGTTGCGCTTTTGGCAGGTATATAAATTAACAACTTAAAGGTCGATGGTAAGTTAAGATCAGAGGTTAAATAAACAAACCATAATACTTTTACACACATTTTTTGCAAATGTTGCTTTTTGTCTTTTTATGCCTTATTTTTTCGTCCAGCATCATCTGGATTTTTCAGAAACTGAATTTTTGTGATTATCCAAAACCTTCTTCTTGAATTAAAGATGGCAGAATGGGATGACTACTCACTTTTCGAATCTCTCGCTAGTGAGTTGTTTGCGACTCCTCTCCAGTTCCGCCTCACTCGTGCCCGCTCTTGTGCGCAGACTCTGGATCTCCCGCTGCTGCGAACAACTGCAAACACAAACAACTTCTCGTTTAGTTTTAGAACTAAAACTTGACCAACTCGATGGAAGGGCTTTGGGGTTGCGGAGGCTTTAATTTACATAGACAGCTCTCATTAAAAGACGAAGGTCCAAACATGGTACCAAAAGAATCTGTCATAGCCAAGAACCCCCCTCCCCCTCTAAAGACTCACCATTTGCTCTCGGATAGTGCCAATCGCTCCTTGAACAGCTGGATCTCTCCTTCCTTCTCCTGGACTGCGAGACCCAGTGCGAACTCGGACTCCTTGTTGGCAGTCAGTAAGTCCTCAAGGTTCCGGATGGTCGTCTTCTCAGACTCCATCTGTCGCCTGAGCAGATCGATCTCTTGCTTCTGGTCCTCAAGAGTGTTGCTCAGCTAAAAAATATATATTAGATTCTTGGGGAAAAATTATAAGTAGCTTATATACTAAGCAGTTTGTATAGGATTCACAGTTGAAAAGGCTCAAAAATGTGAATGAAAATTGAGTGAGAGGCTCTGCGTTTCAAAAGGTTAAAACCTCCACCAGAAAAAACTTGCCATTAAATTTATATCGCAAGTTACACAAGTTATTAAGTACAAAACAACTTTAAAATCTTCTTAAAACCTAAGCAACAGCCAGTTGGAAAAAAGAAATATTTATTTTTTTTGTGATTTTTTTCCAAAAAATTGAATTTTATTCAATAATATCCGTTACCTATGTTTTTTTTGATTGCGAAAACGTTTTTAAAAAATTATTTGCTGCAAATGAAAAGCGGGAAATCTGTAATTCAAAATTCAAGTGGTAAAATAGGAGAAAGACAGATCAATGCTAAATTTGGCAGTTAAGATCATTCTCAACTCATTCCGCATTGCAACTCAGTCGGCTGAAGTCCAAATATTGCGTTAGAGCTCGCAAAACATAATCGATCATCAAAGCATTTTTAATACGGAACCAATCTTAAAACAAAAAAAGTCACACGCTTGAAATGGTAGACCAATAAAAGCAAACAACAATTTCCAAATACAAATAGACTGCTCGTATCAGGGCGAAGCCCTGAATGTTCCGACTGCCTTTTCAGGTCTATGAAGCAGTAATAACATGAAAAAATTAAATGTAAAAAAAAGAAAATAAATTGAAAAAATTTGGTAGAAATTTTTGAGATATTTTGTAAAAATCATCTCTCCAAACGCCGTGTAAAGTACAAAGTGATAAATTTCACTTCCAGGAAAAAATCAATTATGGCAAATAAGCTTCCTTCAATCAATTTGGAACGATTTCTAAGACGAATTAAATCTACGCTTACGCTTTAATAGCGCGAAATATATCGCGCGTTAATTGTCCCAAATTGGCCAAAATACCAATCTTTAAACCCCACAACTTTACAAGAAAAATGATCACAGGTGAAATCTCTTCTCAAATTTAAGCTCAGGACAACAATACATTTTGAATGATATAAAAAAAAATTCTGTCAAAAATGGCTAGTTAAAAAGTCGAAATTTGTCTGAAGAAAAAAAAAACCCAACCAGAGCACAAATATTTCGTCACTTTTGTATCGAAAGTCGGAACAAAAACAGATAGCTGATGGTTACTTGGCAAATTAATTTTTGTTGAAAAAAATATTTTTTCAATTTCTTCCAAGTTTGGAAAAAAATTACATTAAAGTTACAATATTATAAAGTTTACTTTAGTTTTGAGGTTGAATTTTGATATCGTATCATAACAAGACTGCTTGTATCAGGGCGAAACCTTGAATATTCCGACTGCCTTTTAACGCTTATGGGACACTAATAACATGAAAAAAAATAAATGTTATAGAACAATATGAAAAAAAATTTTTCCTAAAATTTGATTTTTTTTTGAAAATCATCCCCCCACACGCCATATAAAGTACAATAGCATAAATTTTGCTCCTTTTAACAAATCAATTAAAGCAAATAAAATTCTTTTAATCAACTTGGAAAGATTTCTAAGACTAATTAAATCCTCGCTTACGCGTTAATAGCGCGAAATATGTCGCGCATTAATTGTCTCAAATTGGCAAAGTGACAATCTTCAAACCCGCATAACTTTACCAAAAATAATCACAGGTGAAATATTTTTTTTTTCAAATTTAAGCTCCGGACAACAATAATTTCGTCAAAAATGGCTAGTTAAAAAGTCGAATTTTGTCTGAAGAAAAAAAACCCACCCCGAGCACAAATATTCCGTTACTTTCGTTGCGAAAGTCGGAACAATAATCATTCGACCAAAACCTAAATTTTTTTGCCAGCCCTTTTTTTCTCAACGCACATCAGTTGGCAGAAAACTTTCGAGTTGGAAAAATTTGGGTATCAATAACGGCTATCCAAAAAAATCTTGAAAGTATCCTAATTTCAATATTGAACAAAGATATCTGGAGTTTTTTTGCAAAAATGGAAGAAAAATGTAATGAAAACTGGGTCCGGTGTTCATTAAATAGTTCAGATCCTCTTTTTAGTTCAACAACATCAGTCTATTTTCAGCTATTGGAATTTTAATTGACTTAATGTAGAAAATTCAAAAATGAAGCAACTATAACGACAGCCCTCTTTATTAAGGAGGTACCAAATCAGTTGAGTGGTTTCTTTTATAATTAAAAACTCAATTTTGGAAATTTAACCTTTTTGAAAGATGTTATCTAGTTCAATAAGGGCACTTTTTGAACAGTCGTTAATAACTCTAATTGCTCGTTAAATTAAGTTTAAACTTATTTACCCAGTTTTTTTCTGCTGATGGTTTCTTCTGCTGCATTTTAATCAAAAAAATAAGGTTATGCCCTCACCCCCCCCCCCCATGTTAAAAAACTATTTTATTTTAAATCTCTAAGTAGAGTCGATTTTATTCGGAAAAATAGGGCTGATATCCCGAGCGTTCATTCAATATTGAAATATGCAAAAAATGCTTGTCAAACATTTTGTCAAACATTTTAAAGAAAACGGAAAAAAAATTAAAATAATAAACAAGTTTAAGGCTGAGAAAGATTGAACTGATTCGTTATGGCCAACTAAATCTTTTTATACTGACTTTCTAGGTATCATCGGATCAAGTAGAGGATGTTAATTTTGTCCATAATATCGTTCTAATTTTAGAAAAAAAATCGTTTTTATTTCATTGGTTAGGTTATGGTGGTCTATTGGAAAAGACCCAAACTAAGTAAAAATTAGAGAACTTTCCTAATGCACAAAAATTTAGCTTTTTAATCGTCTTTTCGAGGTTTTCTCAAGGAAAGTTGCGGTAACGGCTCTCTTAAACTTAAGATCGTAACCTGCAATTAAGCATGAAGATTCAAAATTTCTAGTGGCCCAAAATTTACGGGTTTCAAATTTTACGTTTCATTTTTTTAACAAGGCAAGAATAATTTAACTCGAATAACCACAATGAAAAGAAAAAGATTGTAAATGCACGTGAAAACAAAACTACAATTTCTTGTCTGTCGGGAAGCGTGTTCTAAGAAATTCTAAGAACTTGAAAAATGAATGCTATTTTTTAAAAAAAAAATTGATGCTCAAATACACAAAGCACTTTCAACCATTCTTTTTTTTGTTAAAATAAGACCAGGTGTGCATTTAAATAAAATATTCGATGCCTCATTATGTTTTTTTTTGACAATTTATTGTTTACTGTTCTACTTTACGCTAAATTTTTTGAATTATTGTTTTTTTGTGAAAAATTTCAATCAAATAGTGATAGTTTAATATTGGTTGATTTTATTTAGTAATTAAAAACAAAAGATTTTGACAAAAAAATGATGGATTTATCATTAAAATGACATGCTAATTGCAAACTTTTCCCGAAACCATACTCTTGAATATTGGCCAAAAATTTTCATGCCGTAGCGCATGGACAGTTTTGGAGTTGACCAAAAATTAAAAGGAAAAATCAAAAGCTCTCTTTTTTCAGAGGTATCAAAGTTTATCTGATGTACATGTATTTCGATTACAATTCAGGAACTGAGTCAAAAGATTAAAAAATAGGTCGGGGAAGACATTTCTTTAATAGCTATACACTCCAGAAGCTTTTTAACGAGACGTCAAAAATAATAAACTATTTAATTAACTTTTAATCTATATTTGGCCTATCAAATCCTCAGTGACCTAGCTCTCAACTCTTTTTCCCAACAGCGAATAATTGAATTTCCAAGAATACTTGGAAAAACGGGAATTTTTTTATTATTCGCACATTATATATCAAAGGCTTTTGAAAAATAACAATACTTGCCCCAAAATAATATCTTAAGTAGATTGGTAAAGAAGAGATTAAAAAGTGATCAAATAATTTAATTTCTTTATTCTTAGTTTTCACTCCAATTTTGGTCCTTGAATATATATGCTTTCTTCCTAATCCAGATCTACGTGAAGTAATATGTTAGACAAAAGCTGAATGAAAAAGGGGAGTTTTTAATACGTGATGCCACCCACACCTGCAAAAAAATTCTTCATTTGTTCACAATGACCGATTTCAATACAAATTGGCATGCGGACCAATTAAGCTACGTATATAATTTTTAATAACTAATTTAGTGAAACCACACAATATATCAGTGGTGGTGGGGGTCTAATACCTGTTTTAAGCAAGTAAGATCATTTATCTAATTTTGTGATGAACAGGATCAATGCTTGAGATTTGGTTCCGACTTCCGAAGAAAATAGAATACTTATACTTGGGGTGGTTTCTTATACAGTCAGTTTTTGGCGATCGAAATATTAGTTTTCAACAAGCGATCGACCCAATCTCTTAAGCGTTTGAAAATTGAAGATGTATTTTTCCATTGCGCGCTAGTTATTATTGTTGAATAAAACAATGGAAAACTTTTTTAAGCAATATAAATTCTCATCATTTGATTCTGAATTAAAAAAGCATAAACTATCCAAAGTTAAAAATAGAACAGCAGTTCTTAAACTAGGTATCAACAAGCGGCCTCTATTTAAGACATTGAAAAGGTAACTAAAAATGATTTTGAATATGTAGTAATGGATTGACCTCATCTTAGAGATTTTTAAAACTTCTAATAGATCTTCATTAGTTTTAATTTCATGTAAAACACTGAACAAAAATTTTAAAAAAATATGAAAAAAAGAAATCGAAAAAGCCAGAATTTATAAAAATTAACTCAAAACGTCAGTTTCTATAACACAAAATGATACTTTTTTGAAATGATACTTCGGCCATTTTAAATACGAGATATGTTTTTTCAGCCTAAAGTTTTGCAAGTGGACCTATTCATTGACCAAATCAACCTAAGAAAATATCTGAGGTAGCTTAAAAACAAATATACAAGATACTGGTCTTGTAAGGTTTACCTGTGATGTTCAATGAAAGCACTTTACTAATTTTGATTTTAAATCCCCTTCTTTGGCATACATATAAATACAATTTT